CAGCCAAACCCGGCCCCCCGCCCCGCCCCACGGTCACGTCCGTCACTCACAGCTCCGCCCACATCTCGTGGGCCCCGCCCCGCCACACCCACGGCCATGACGTCATCGCCTACACAGTGGAGATGTGCGGGGTGGCAGGCGGCGGGAACAGTGACGTCATAGCCCCGGGAGACAGGGAGTGGCGGGTACTCACCAAGAACTGCCAGAGCACGCGCTATGACGCGCGCTACCTGACCCCGGACTCCGCCTACACCTTTCGCGTGAGAGCAGAGAATGTCTACGGCACGGGCAAACCCAGCGCGCCCTCTGAACCCGCCACCACCAAGATGTTTGAATCTCAGACTGACCCCTCCATTGGTGTAGACGCTGACCAGACCAGCTACGGGCTGGAGAATGGGGTCAAGGTCAAGGACAAGTCGGCCGGCGGTCTTCACAGACGACACAGCTTCAACATGCACCTGGACGGAGCGGTCACCTCTATACTCAACCACTCGGACATCGTCCTGGCCAGCCCCTCCCCCTCCTCCTCTTTTTCCTCCACCCTCGCCCACGACCGGTCGGAAAGGTCAGGGTCACTCACTCGACATCACGTGAGTCGGACGTCCTTGACCTCCGGCCGGAAGTCCGCCACGCCCATCATGCTGCCGGGCACGGGAACCGATTCTCTGAACCGACTCCGCGAGTCGAGAAACAGTCTCCGAGCCAGCACTTCCGACTACGGCGTGTCGTCAACCATAGGCCGAGAGCCGGGCAAGACTCGGTTCCGCGAGTCCCGGAGCAGTATCGGTTCCAGTATATCCGACATACAGAGTCCTGCCTCTATCGCCGGGGACGAGTCGCGGAAGAGACAGCGCGGGTCACGTGGTAGTCTCCGCTCCAGCACCTCTGACCTCACCGTCTCCCACTCCAACAACGGCGGCAGCAGCAGCAACAGCAACTCTCGGGAGGGAAGTCTGTGCGACTGCAGCGCCATCTCTGACAGCTACAACCATGAGGTTGGTCACGCGCTGACCAACGGAGACTCACACAGGGACAGGAGGCACGCGCTGACCAACGGCGACTCACACAGAGACGGGAGACACGCACTGAGCAACGGAGACTCACACAGAGACGGGAGGCACGCGCTCACCAACGGAGACTCACACAGGAGCGAAAGACGCTCAGAGGAATACCCCGTACACTATCATAATGTGAACAACAACAACAACAATAATAATAAGTACAATAATATCTGTAACAATGTGTCATCCCACTCGGCCTCGGATGTTATCGGAGACTACGAGAGTTGTAAACTCGGACATAACGACATACGACACAACGACGACACGCGACACCCTAACAACATCGGTGTTGGTGGTGGAGATGATGATGACGATGACGATGATATCGCCCGGTTCAAAGAAGGACTGCGGAAGTTAGATCTGCAAGACGGAAAACTCAAACTGGAGGAACTCCGGGACAAACTACGCGTGTCTGACGTCACACTGTCCGGCTCTGACGTCACATTCTCCCAGTGTCCCGCCACCAGGGGCTACTATGACAGTCTAGAGAACCCCTGGGAGAGAGTGACCTCCCCTGACGGCGTCTCGCAGCGGATCCTGGCCGCACCATTTTGTGACGACATCAAGATGGCGCTGTACGCGCGGAACCTGTCAGACGGGGAGATATCTCTGGACTCACACTCCCTCTCCTCCTCCTCCAATCACAGCGCCGAGTCGGACAACGAGGCCGGCGACTTCCGGACCCTGAGGAGTGTGCTACAGTCCAACAACATGCTGGTCAAGACGTCACGTGCTCAGCCCGAGCTTATGGGCGTGGTCATGGCGGACACAGGGGAGGCCCGGGTGTTGACCAGGGGTCGCTTGACCACCATAGTGGACGCTGACGAGGAGGACGAGACGGTCAGAGTGACCACGCTTTGAGTACGGACTTGTGAACACACAGGGATGAACAAGCAAATGAACAAACACATTTCCTTACGTTTGTGGATAAAGAACTATGTGGGATAATGATATGCAGCACACACTGCCTTTATAGGGTCGCTTTTAAGGACAAGCGGGCTAACCCAGATTTCGGGGGTTTCCAGAAATCTTGACTTACGCCAAAAGTGGGCATTGTCCTACCTATAGGAGAAGTTTGGTTTGATATGTGTTTGGTTATAAAGAAAACTCTCCTTGTCTTTTAAAGAAAGTGAACAAGGGGCAAAAACTTTACCTGCGATTTCCTCAAAACAGCATTTTTCGGGATGCCCCCCTTGTGCTTAAAAGCGACCATAATATATATTATATAAACGCTAACTGTTACATTCCGATCACAACATTAACGTAGATAAAGACCTAGAATGTACGACGTGGAGTCCCGGATCACATGAGACCTCCATCTCTGTACTGTTCCATAGGTGACAGATTCCATATGTCGTTCCACCCATTTGTCGCTGCATTATTAATTTGTCTTTTTTTCAGAAATATTTTTCTTATTTTTCTTTTTCTTTTTAATGGCTTCAGTGGATGAGAATAGCTCTGAAATTATCATAATAACTAGATCTAGTACTGCAATCTCCTGTGACAGAGACATCAATTTATTATCCGTTTTCTTTCCTCATCCGTACTATTTTCATTTTCCTCTACTTCTTTTGTATGTTTGTCACTCTGTTGTGAACCGCTATTTCCGGGGTGCCTTGATAGTCGAAGCAGACTTTGTGCTGTTGAGACTAGAGAGGTGAGCAGAGTAAGTCTGATTCCCCGTTAGGACTTCTCTGTTGACACCCACCCCTTGGCGCTCGTGTGACCTTATGCAGTTGCGAGCGCCGTAAGTTTTGTTAGTTTTGTTAGTCTTGTTAGGTTTGGTAGTTTTGTAATAGGAAAATATACTTGGTCAGAATCTCTTGGTCACCTTGTGTGTGTAGGGGGGGG